TTTTCAACTTTACGGCGGAGCGGAATACAGTATTTTAGAAAGAAACTAAACATAGCCAGCGTGTATTTAAGAACCAATCAATAGAATAATAGAAAGGAAGCCCACAGTGCGGTAGCAAGGCACAGCGTGGCAAAATGAGAAACAAAAAGAGCAATTTCGATCGCGACACGTAATAGGGCATCGACCGCAATTTAACACACGCGTTAACCGACAAAGATTCGCAAATACCTCCCGAACACGTTTGTCGGCCGTCCGTTCTTTCATTACGGCTCCGCTCGCCTGTTATTACCCGGCGCCCTTTGCGAGGACCCTAATTGCTTATTAGATATGTAACTTGTGGGATTGCCGTCCTTTGTGGCGACTTCTGACATTTAACGCCAGCGTAATCGTTACACTAGGACGAATTCTCGCTTCTTTCAACCGTAGATAATCCCGCATTGTTCAATTCGGCTAGACCTCTTACTATATGAGAATAAAATTTTAGTAAGCTTTGATGCTTGAGCGAATTCCGCCATTGTTTTTAGAAAGACGAGCTAAGACATTTTGCGCAACTTACTAGGCAACAGGTCTCTGCCGAACAAAAATGTTTATTTTTTTTTTTTTGTTATTTATGTTTTAGTTTTTTTCGATTTCTAATCAAGTTAATTTTAACTACTGTTTTGTTTTTAAAACTTAAATATTTTATTAAAAGTATACTTAAGTAAACTTATATATTATGATGTGCATTATTAAAATTTTTGTTATAAAACGTCGTCTTTTTCCCGTCTGTAAATCAGCAAAATTATAGAATTTATGTAACGTTGGAAAAGAAGTGGTTCATGTTTTTTTTAACAGTTGATGTAACTACTAGTAGGTAAAAAGAAAACCACAGCAAGAACCTCAGCACGGACGCTAGACGTGTTTAAGAATGGCCTCATAATAGTAGACTTGCTAAATTGTGATGAAGTCTTTTAACGACAACGTGAAAATTAGGTACCTATATAAGATTATAAAATTATTGCAAACATTAAAACTATAAAACTATTTAATTATTTAAACCTTCTATTATTTAAGAGAGACGTAGATGAATCTGAGACAAGGACACGCAGTCTTAAAAGGGTATTAAAACACGAATATCAACATTCGATGCGAAAGGAAAATGTCAGCGTTAACGAGTAACCGTCAGCTGTAAAATAAATGAGATCAGGAAACGACTCGCGTAATTACGTCAATGATGGCGATATTACAATATTACGGTGGCGGATGAATCGCTTATCACAAGTGCGATGGTAAACATTTCGACAGCGGGTAGCCTTTCGACGGCGTGCGAGGCGCGGTAATTCCCCGTGATTGATTATCTTTTCGACTAATGAGCTCCGAACCAGTCTTCGCGGGCGTGGTACAAGTGGTAAACTTAAAGAGACTGGCAAGGAATAAATAAAAAAGGATTCATACTGCTCACACGCCCGCACTCTCCACGACGATCATGGGTACACAACCACTATTTTGATGTGTACACATCACTTCAAGACAGAAAAACATAATAAACGTGACAAATATAAAAAAGAGTACAAAGTAAAGAGAAATAAAAGTGCCTGCATTAAGTTCCCAAATGTCTTTTCTTGCCGTTAACGCTTTCCGCACATTATTTTTATTTCCTTTTTTTTTAAAAATCGGTAACATTATTCCATATATTTTGTGGCTAGTGAGCACATGCCAATTTTACAAACTACATTCACTAATTTATAGTCCAAAGGCATCTTATTTGTTAGCAAAACAAGGCGAGGTGGAAATAAGTGATTGGCAAAACCGCTTTCGCTCGCGTCACAAAGCGGTGACATTATGAATTATGATCGCTTTACCCTCACAATAAGTGCATAAATAGGAGCCGGCTGATGGCTGGTATAAATCACTCGCGGTCATCTATCATCCGCTGGAAGGCACCAGGAAGTTGGCTGCCAATATAAATACAGCCGCGAAGATATCCTTCAGTATATAAGTATTACATCGCCTTAGATTCGATCACAATCGATTTGATGGCGAGCCGATTGGCACAGTGTATATGTAGAGGGTATAGGTTCGATTCCCGGTACAGGAAAAATGCTGTGATGAATTGGTGCTTTTCTAGTGTCTGGCTGTGTATGTATCCACAAGGCGTAATTAGTTATTTACAAAAATTATATTTAATTATGTTTATCAGTTATTTAGTACAAGCATAGCTTAGTTTGGTACTAGTGAACGTTATATAAAAATATGTCCAGAAATAGATTTAAGTAACAGTAATTAACAGTTATAAAGACCACAGTAACAATTGGTGTCTTTTAATCTTGAAAGGTGAAGGGTCGATTCATAAGTATGACAGTTTCTTATATAATTAACAATCGACGAATTTTAAATTCAAATGCAAATAATGAATCTTTTATTATGATCATCGACTTTGGACATCATGTTGTATAATAATTTGAGTAAGTTTCTGCTATACCCTTAAATATTTCTACATAGAGTGTAACATACCTACATAATATTATACTAGTGTAAATTGCATTAAAATCCGATAAGTAGTTTTGAAGTTATACGCGAACAGGAAGGCAGAAAAAATTTAAAAATGGTTTTATGTATCTTATAACTCTTTTTGTGATACCCTATACAATGTTTACAGTACAAATGTACATAACACTGAATATATTCATGAACACACAGTATCTACCCTTTCATTAAAGTATAATTTAAATCTATGCATAACCATAAATTGTATGTTTGGCAACTCAAATGAAATTTGAAAAGCCATTTGACAGCTGATTAGTTGACATCTACAGTGATCAGTGACATTTGCAACAACCGTAGGGTTGCAGATGCGTCATCACCTTTTAATAAAGACTCCAGCTACCTCAGTCACCACACGAAACGCCCAAGTGTAACACTTTCGCCGCGGCACTTCGCCAGACGGACCTGCGCATTCGTGCACGTTTCCTTGTTTTTAAGACAACATATTGACTAACAAATCAGCACACGTATACAAGATAGTTGTAAATAAACACATATTTCCAGAATTAATGTCAAAATTCCGTTAAGCCACAGCCGTTATGTTAATACAATTCTCAGGGGAGACCTCCACGATAATTTGTCCAATTTTAAATAAACGCTAATTTGTCTAATTAACTAACACGTTTGTCATATTTAATTATTTAAAAAGGCGTATGTGATTGGACGCTTTCAAGGTGGAAAGAAATAAATGTTGTTTCTTGTCTTGTTTTGAAAAAAGAAAAAAACCGTTTACAAACGTGCTATTTTTCTAGCCTAATAAATGTAAATTAATTTCCACAGACTATCTGCTACTGTTCTAGTATTTGCACAATGGAGTCTTGGTTATTAAAACTGTAACATGCTGTACGCCGTCTCTCCCACAAGTGCATACGAATTTCGTTCAAACACCGTCTGCATAGTAGTACGTGCCTGCTCGTGTCAACGAAGCGCTCCTATCTACGGAAGTCACACGGTGACTTGCTTTCAGCGATCTCTTACTGATATAGCACTAGGAATATGACAGACAGACGAAATATATATTGCACCCAATTAAAATTTCAATTTTTTTATGTAAAAAGTAAAAAGCACAGAGCCGTGATAGCTCAGTGTCCGGGCGCTCGCCTTTAATTCAATATACTCGAGCAACCTGAGTTCGATCCCCGGTGCCGGCACCAATGAAGTTAACTTTAAGTGCTGACTTATCACGTGCTCCGCGGTGAAGGAAAACATCGTGAGGAAACCTGCATATTTTCGAAATAATAACAAAAAAATATATTTCGAAAATATGTGAAGTCCGCCAATCCGCAGTGGGGCCGCGTGGTGGACTATGCCCTGATACCCTCTATATAGAGGAGGCTTTTGCCCAGCAGTGGGACATGTATAGGCTGTTACTTTACTTTACTTTTTCTTATGTAAAAAGTTGCCAAGCGAGCAGACAATTCACCTCATGTTAAGTGAACACCGCCGCCCATGGACATCTGCTACACCCGAGTGTCGCAGATGCGTTGACTACCTTAATAATTTCATTGTTTTATTTTATATATATAAAATGTCTTTTGCCTAAGTTTTTGTGACATTGACAGAAAGGATTTTTTATATGATAAGGTGGCATGCGAGCTAACTAATCAGCTGTCAAATGGCCCTTCATATGTTATTAGAGTGGGCAAAAGGATGGTTAAAATCACTGAATTGATCAAAATGTTCTTCTTTGTGATCAGAATGATAAATTCAAAGAGTTTACGTAACTTCTACGGTGATCAGTGTTTCAACCGGGCGTAAGTTAAGGAATCACGGAGACAGGGAAATTTACTGCCATTAACCATCAAAGTGGAAATCCCTAGAGGACTATGCTCAGCAGTGGACGTTTACAGGCTGAAATGATGATGATGATGACGAGGAATCAATGGTCGGTTCTACCGCTTCTTAGCCCCGACCCAGCCACCGTCACAGCTCGGGGCACAATGCGGCCACTAAGTGGTTGTCGGACGTCGCATCTAGAATCTGTCTGCGCGATGTATTTGCTCAGCGAAACGTCTAGATAGCGTTCTCGACAGTCCGCCGCTGGTGCTCTGGTACAGGCGTGCGCGGCTCCTTGTTTCGTAAACACGTAAACAATCATTGCATAACAATATAAATGGTATGCAGTACTTTTTCCAACTCTGATTCAAGTAATTCTTAATATGTTAATGTTGAACTCTGATTAATCTCCTTTTCTTGTGGTACTTTCCTTTTCTTTCATAGCATTATCCTGTGTTGTCGTTTTACAGACATTAATTTCACGTGGACAAACACCATGATGCGAAACAACTATCTGTGGGTCACACAAATAGTTGTCCCGTGTGGGAATCGAACACATGACCCCCGACTGCAAAGCCAATACTTTGGCAACTGCCACGGAGTCATCATGTTTGATAACCTACATAATAACCTGAGATGTTTTAGGACGTTCTAGCTCGAGAGCTTGTCACGAGTGACGTCGTGGGAGCTTATTAGCGGCAATGGCGTCTCCTATGTCGGCTGCTGAGCGGGCCGATGGGCCGCGTCACGATGACGTTGAATTATTGAAGAGGCGATTTGATCGTGTCCAATCGGTGGCCCGCGGCGCGGACGCGGCGGTAGCGTCGCTCGTGACACAGGGCGTCGGCCGCGGCGTCTTTGATCGCTGCAGGGCTGCCAACCGTGTGCAGCGCAAATCGATAAATTAAAGTTTATTGAGAGAAAATTCTAGAAATACTACCCGTAAAAGCGTTTGCTATAGTCTAGTTAAATTCATCGATCAAAAGCTGCCAGGGAGAATTTTCTGTAGGTTCGCCCACCAATAAACTGTATTAGAGAAAATGGTCAGGTGTATTTCTCTTCGTGTATTCAATTAATTAATTATATGTATACTAGCTTTTCGCTCGCGGCTTCGCTCGGGTCGAAGTCCTTTTACACGTATCTTTCTTTAAAAACTATATATATATATATATTTAAAGATTTTTTTCCAATTAAAAATAGCCTCAGTCCTTTCTCGGGCTCTAGACTATTTGCTTACCAAAATTAATTTAAATCGGTTCAGTAGTTTTGGCGTGAAAGCGAGACAAACAGACAGAGTTGCTTTCGTATTTATAATACTCTTATTATAGTATCGATATAAGTTTAGTTGTCAAATAGAATGTTACTTCACTTTGTACATAACCACCATGTTATCAATACATATTAAAATTTGTGTTATATCATCTGAGTGTTGCTTATCATTGTCATAATAGTGTATATCCTAATGCATCACGCGTTGTTTTCTTTTTCGCAGTTAACGAAGTCAAATCACAACAAAAAAACTGTTTTTAATAAAAGTATATTTCTGAATTTTGATCGTTGTCTAAATCCAATCCATATATTTAATAGGCTTTCTAATGAGAATTTCAAAAACACTAGAGGTTTAACATATACATTTAACATCAGGCACTAACTAAAAAACATTAAAGTTTTTTTTTTTATGTGAAAAGTTGCCAAACGAACAGACGGTTCACCTGATGGTAAGTGAATACCGCCGCTCATGTACATCTGCTACACTCGAGGGTTACAGATGCGTTGACAACCTTTTGAAAATTGGGCTCCGGCTACCTCATTCACCAGACGCGAAAGTATTTGTCATACTTCCACTTTACGCTGGCCTTCTGTGAGGTCGTGGTACTTACCCAGACGGGCCTGCCCATTCGTGCAACAGCCGAGGCTGCTGCGTGGCCCTACCACCGTAAAAAACTCTTTGGCCGTAAAAAACTGTTTGACTTTGTTCGTTTCAATGTTCTATATGGGTTACTGGAGATACTTGGTTACTGGAGAAAGAATTTTAACGTAAATATTATGGATCTAATGTCAAATGCCTATCGCTAGTAACCAAATCTATTAGATAGATAATGGACAGGAAGTAATTTGTCTGCACTCACAACCCTAACTCCCATCTCGTCGTTAGTTACGCCTTCGATTGCCGGCGTGAAACGAGGTTCGAGAGGCCGCTCAACCCTGGAGCCAGCCACCAATTTGCCGCCTCGTCCTCACCCGTTTTGCCTGAGTCACCGTCCATTAGCTGACCGTCGGGAGCGGTCAGCTTAGAGCGGTCGATCATACCGTTAACCTTGTTTTTGTACCTTGCAGTGTTCATCCATTCCCTTGTGTGACTCTTATTGGTTGTAGCTATAAACACACCACATGGGGCGGTGCACCTCCATCGATTAACGTGGCGGACGTTAGCTTACTTTACGTGATCTACATTCGGTGAATCTTTCGCTTAAAAGTGTTTAACGTATCTAAATGGCCATCAGGTGTTGTAGATGTCCATTGATGATGCTCGCTTGACAACTTCGATTTTGATGACTCCGTGGCGCTATCAGTTGCTAAGGTATTGGCTTCAGCGTCGGGGATTGTGGGTTCGATTCCCACTCGGGACAACTATTTGTGTGACCCACAGACAGTTGTTTCGCATCTGGGTGTTTGTCCGCGTGAAAGTTATGTTTGTAAAACGTCCTTACAACACAGGATAATGTTATCCTAAAGTAAGGGCAATGTTTTAAAAGAAAAAAAATTAGAAAAAAAATTAGTGACCTTCTTAAGACATTACCAATCTTCTACCATCCTTAAAACTTTTTTTTACTACTCACCCTAACAAATACAAGTAGAAACCACTCACAATAATGCTTTTCAGAAAAAGAAACCGAAAAAAAAAAAAAAACATTATAATTACGCTGACATTTAAAAGGGGTCTAACAAAAGAGCGCCGTGGTATTACGGAAATCACAATGACCGTGTGTTTCGGCCACGGCTAAGCAAACAATGAAACTGCGCTTTTCACCCCAACTCGGGTGGTCGCCTAGCCGGGTAGTAGTCAAGTAATAGGCTCGAAAGTGAACGCTAATCGGTTGCTTTGTTAATCTTTAATGCGCCCATCATCATCAATTCAGCCTGTTAGAGTCCACTGCTGATCATAGTACCCTACAGATAAAAAATAAAGCTCCATGATATTTAATTATATTTATATTTAGGACACATTCTTTTTACACAACGTTCTATAGTTCCAAACTAAGCAATGCTTGTAGTATGGGTACTATAAAACTGATAGACATACTTAAACATACTTTTCTTTTGTAAATAAATACACATTATACATGTATAAACAGCCAGACACTAGAAAAACACTATGCTCATCACACAATATTTTTCCAGTAGTGGGGATCGAACCCACATCCTCTGGTGCAGAAGGCAGGTACACTAGTGATTACGCCATTCGGGTCGTCTAAAAAATAAAAAATATGACTATCGACAGATGAAATGTAAGTTTCTTATGTCGATGAATAAATTATTTTGATTTTGATTTTTTTACAGACTGCCACAAAGCACGATCTTGACCTGCATCCATCGACTTCCCGAACATTTTCCTCAGACCATCCAGTGGTAGTTATAATGCACTGCAATCATCTTATTTGTTTTTTTTAAATGTTTGGTGAACCACCACAGCTTATCCTAAGTGCAATTCAGTTCCCGGACGAGGATAACATATTGCCAACAAACATCCACACATTATATGGAGACGAACGTTAATCTAGAATGTAATGTTCAGATGTTGAAAGGAGAGCTTTCGAAAATTACGCTTCACACACGTACAAACTTACTAAACTGTCACTCTTTCTACTAATATGACTAAAATTTATTTCGGATCGCTCTAACCGAAGGCTTGTAGGTTCGGCTAGGCATTAATTCTGCGTCTTATGAAGCTTTAATGGTCTACGGACTGAAGCCAAAGGCATAGTTAAAGTTAAGTGTTTTAGCAATAGCAATAGTGTATATTACCTTCTTTACCTCGATTTACGGTCAACTTTCAATAGGATACGCATACATAAAAGTAGTATTGGATTATAAAATTATTTATATCGAATGGATATCGAACCCAATTTCTACACGGTACAATTCTAAAGGATACCAACTGCGCCGAGCAATCCAATATACACGTCATGTATACACAAAGTGTTAAGTTTTTCAAACCTTAATTACTCCGTATAGAGACATTATTCTATATACGTTCCACCAAGCCGGCTTAGTCCCAAGAGTATCATATTATGTGGAACGTACAAAAAAAGTAAAGTAAAGTAATAGCTTATACATATCCCACTGCTGGGCAAAGGCCTCCTCACAGAGGGTATTAGAGCATAGTCAACTACGCGACCCCACTTCGGATTGTTGGATTTCACATATCTACGAAACATGTTTTTGTTTTTATTTCGAAAACATGCAGATTACTCAAGACTTTTCATCACCGCTGTGTACACAGTGATAACGTAATAACACAGTACTTAAAATGAACAATTTCATTGGCCGGCACCGGGGATCGAACTCCGGTTACTCGACCATATCGAATTAAAGGCGAGCTGTGTAAAAAATTGTGCTGAAATATTTAATAGTCGTATCCACTTCCCCATAATTCGCGGCGACCAGGCAATATCTTAGCAACGCATTAACTACTCATATTATTTTACAACCCCTTACAAGGAACGACCTGCTCCGTCTACCGTTCAAACAATCGATTGCAATACTTGTTCAAAGCACAAGTTATTGATTCTCGTCTTATTCTGATGAGAACACAGCTTTCCAGATAGCGGATATTGCCTATCTTGAAAGCCTTCGTTGGAACGTTTGACTTCGAAAGTATTGATCTTATATTTGTAGCCTATTAATCTGGATGTTGCACCTAACGTAAGAAAAATCATATCGCCTGCTGGGTCTTGATTTGTTACCATGAGCTTATTGAAAATAAATAACTTGGAAATAATGTTTGAAACGTCATCACTAAATAATTACCGAAGTGTAACATAAAAAAATAACCTACATTATAATTCATGCAGCTTTTATTAATTTTTCTTTTGTAATAATTTAACCACCTTATACACAGTGTAATTAAAGCAGAAAGAATTATGTTAAGTCTTAATAATAGTTTACAAATTGATATATCTGTGAAAATAGTTTTATTTAGTAATGTGTATTATTCCCGTAGAGAAATTATCATTTTTATTATTAGAATATATCGTTTGCTGTGGTTCTGTAGCTTTAAATAAATTTTCCAGTTTTTCTATTTCGGCAAAAAAGTACGACGGGTCAAATGTTTCGGTGATACAGCTTTTTATAGAGAAAGAGGACACTGCCAGGCGTAGGCCACTCAGCAGCGTCCACTGTTGCATAAATGAGCAGGATCGTCCGGAAATGTACCACGGACTCACAGAACGGTGGTAGGGCCATGCAGCAGCCTCGGCTGTTGCACGAATGGGCAGGCCCGTCCGGGTAAGTACCACGACCTCACAGAAGACCGGCGTAAAGTGGAAGTATGACAAATACTTTCGCGTTTCGTCTGGTGAGTGAGGTAGCCGGAGCCCAATTTTCAAAAGGTTGTCAACGCATCTGTAACCCTCGAGTGTAGCAGATGTCCATGGGCGGCGGTATTCACTTAACATCGGGTGAACCGTCTGCTCGTTTGACAACTTTTAGCATAAAAAAAAAAAAAAAAAAAAAAAAAAAAAAAAGAAGACTGGCGTGAAGTGAAAGCGTATGCGTTCCCACTTCTCACCCTTTTGAAGTTTTCCAACGCATCTGCAAGCCCTCAGATGTTGAAGATGTCCATGTGTGCGGGGAATCACCGAACATTAATTGACACCAAAAATTTAACAATTACCATCGCCCATGCACATTTGGAATACCAGAGCAGTTACAAATGCCTTTGGGAATAGACGTCTTTGAGTTTGTAGCTTCTTCCCTGAAGTAGCTATTTAAAATATATCAGTGAGATTTGCTTGTAAAGATGGTGGTAGAATTTTTACAGCAGCAGGAATGCAGTGCGTTTAGTTTAATTGAGGAGTATCTAAAGGTGGTAGGGCCTCGCAACAGCCTCGGCTGCTGCACGAATGGGCAGGCTCGTCCGGGTAAGTACCACGACCTCACAGAAGACCGGCGTAAAGTGGAAGTATAATACTTTTTCGTTTCGCCTGGTGAGTGAGGTGGCCGGAGTCCAATTTTCAACAGGTTGTCTACGCATCTGGAACCCTTGGGTGTAGCAGATGTCCATGGGCGGGGGTATTCACTTAACATCAGGTGAACCGTCTGCTCGCTTGATAACTTTTCACATTAAAAAAAAGGTTAACTGTAAAGTAGAGTTGCGGACTGTTCTATATATTATAAACATATAATAATAGCTCCATTTTGAGTTGATAGACTTGACGTTGTAGACTATGTCAAATACTTTCTATATCCGACGTGTAACTTTCTTCGTGATAGATTATAATCTTTATTATACTATAGAAGTTCGATTCATTGCAAATAAGTTGCTCTCAGGAGGTCAATAAATGTATTGTGATTAATCGATGAAAGGATTTTTTTATTGAATATAATTTTTATCGATTTAATCAATAACTGTCATCGATTGCTAGAAACATAATATCACCTCCTAGTCTGCCGTGACAGCCAATGGATTAAACATTTCATCATTAAAACTCCATCACAAATCTGCGTTCATTTATGACGTGATGATTTAATAATAGATATTCAAAACAAAATTTCCTAAATAATAGAAATGAATGTTTATTAGGGGCCTATCAAGCAAGGGCTTATAGGCAAGTTTCCAAGTGGGGTTGTGAATGTCTAAATGTACCATGTTAGTGATTAATTATATTAATAACCATTTACCTTAATTTCCATGACAATTGCCAAACTTGTCCACCTTCATAAATAAATATAAACATGTCTAATTTTTTACCAATATTCATAAAATGCCCTCACAATTAAACTATACCTCATATTAAATGCTTTCCTTTAAATAACTTGAAGCTCATTTTAGATAGAGATAATGTAGAGTTTGCAGTACTGAATTGTTGGTGAGTAGTTTGTAGTAAAACAACGCTGATGTTTCTGTACTGCTAACCTTTGTTTCAACTAGTGCATAATATGATGTAGACCAAAAGGCGTTTATCACTTTCTCCTAAAAAAAAATGGATTCTTTATGAGTGTTGTTTTTTGGTTAAGGTTTAAAGTTACACTAATTTTCTAACAGGGAAACGTGACTTACGTCTTTGTTTCATCCAATCACAATTAATTAGAGTTATGAAGGCGAAAAGTGTAGTGAAAGAATTTAAAAAAACCTTTAGTACCCTCTAAATTATATCTGAACTCTTCCTGAAACCTATTAAATAATCTTAAACATTCATTAAGACCTTCGCCGTTGCCGACCGGCGGGTACCGCTTTGACAGTTCCCTGATTTAAGCACACTCAGCTATCTGATCTCACAACGTACGTTCGCGCACCGTGACGGAGTTTCATGCGCCGCCAGTCAACAGCGGCCGCCGTCAAAAGCGCGGAGACGATCAAACTGAATTATCACCGAGCCCCTCGGAGACCATTCAATTTCCCGGCAATGCATCCCCGTCGACGCATCGTCTTCGGCCGCCTGGTTTAGAAATGCTTCCGTCGTGACGCCGAAAGCGCAAAGCACGCTGCGAGTTTTTCCCGCGCGAGAGCGAGACCGCCGCGCGGGGTGTCAAACGCGGTGGGGATAAGACGGCTAAGCTCCCGCAAAGTACACAGAATGCAAAAATGGCGAGGCGACGAGTGACAACGCACTGACAGCAGCGGGGGGAGGGACACGACGCGGCTCAGTCGAACGCCGTCAGCCGTGCGCGCCGCACGTGTTCCCAGCGACCGCGTCAGTGACTTGTGTGGAATATGTGCTGACAACGGAGCGTCGTACCCGTGGAGTGTTTGTTGCCCGAATTGTTGTTTTTGTGTGTGCGAAGAAAACCTCAAAGCTGGAAAAGGATAGCCTGTTGTGGAGCAATATGCTCACGTCCAGCAGTCAGTACCTGAGACCGGATTACCTGTCGCCGCTGCCCACCACGGTGCGTTGATGATGGCCTTTTATTTACTCCTTTCGACAGTTCCGTGCCGCTGTTCGTTTGAGCGTTTTACCAATACAAACTTTTTGCTGGCATTGCAAGTTTTGTTATTATATTCCTGCTACTTGTTGCGAACTTTTACAACTTTCGATTTTTTTTATTTAGTGAAAAAGGGTTCCCTTCGAAAAGGAAGTTCGTTATTCTTTCGCAGGAGCAAATGGTTACCGTATTACATTTAACATATAAAATGTATACACAAATATCAAGACTTTTTTTTTTGTTTAAATTACTCGTAGTAAATTCCAATAAGTAATTGTGCAAGATCTTTAGAGATAATTTAGCAAAGCATCTCCAATATGAATATTCACCATTTTTGATTTTTTATAATGAATAGCAGACGATGCAAGTCGACGTGTAACAAAGACACGTTACCTTATTTCTAATTTCTTTAAGTAACATTTTAAATACTTACTGTAACATTCTTTAAAGGAAAGTATTTTCCAAGAACTTAATAATAAAAAAAAAAGTTTTATTAAAGTTAGTCTAAAGTGGCAATAAAATATTTATTTTTCCTTTTTTTCTAATTACATTATCAAGAAACATTACAAATTTGTAACATTTGAAACATTACAAACGAAATTTAACGTATAAATGTACAAGAACAATTTAAAAATTACAAACTTCCGTCATTTTAAAAGGTTATCAACGACAAAATCTCTTCATAAATGAAAAATCTAATGGTAATTAAATAAATAAGATATATGAGGCAAGAAAATCTTAGGCAGCATTTCTTAGAGTTGGCCTAAAACACTCAATTATAAACCACACATAAAAACACAAACCTATACAATATTAAGAATTTGACATTTTTTGCGCAATAACTATGGCCAAAAAACGCTTTCAATTCTTTTGATAAAGTTCTTGACGGTGAAATCTAATTACGCTTTACCAGTGATAGGGCGTGTAATTCTGTGTTTGAAAAACTTGAGTTTACCTGTTAAAAGTTCGAAACACGTTTCTGATTTTGTTTCATGTCTCATTTATATTTATACTGTCTTATCTACCTTTTACTTTTATATTAAAATCTTATGTATTATATAACATTGAAATAGAGCATAAAGATAATGGTTTCTTAACTTTTATAACGATCATCTTAATTAATATCTAAATAATTGAAACGGTTTTCTTTAACAATTTTGTTAATTTTTGATGGCGCAATATTTGTGGTTTTTCCCATTTAGAGTTTTGTAAGCCAACCTATTCTTGAATCCTTTTTAATTATGATAAAAATTATTCTTGAAGTTATTTGCGTTATCGCTAAGTTACTGACGCTTTTAGGTAATAAGTATTACATTTTTAAAAGGATTTAATATACATACATAAAAATAACAAACTGTAAAACATGTGGTTGGTATTCATTGATAATCATTGATAAGCTAGAGAATCATTTCTTTAGCATTGCATGACTTTGTATTACAAATAAAAGTTTTGGATATTATTGAGCGTGTTCTTAAACGGCTACAATTCAAGTCGGAAATTTTAATGCAGTCCATTGACAATCGCTAGTACATTCGCGTTCAAAGAGAAACTGTGGAGGTATCAATCAATTAAAAAGCGACACATCGCAGAAACAGTGCCCAGAGCAAAACATTCGCCCGGAAGCTCAAAGCCAGTCCTGCGATAGTACTTGACAGCGCATCGCGGGTTCGGGCGTGCCGCAAATTCAGCCTCGCAAATTGCCCTTTTCACTGCGAGATTACATCGTGCGGGAGCCGAGTGAAATGTCAAGCGGGGCCGACGGCTGCCAGACGCGCGGATAATGGCGCGTCGGCCGCGTGATTGGACCCACCCCCCCGCTCCGTTGCCTCCCCCGCGGTCGCTTTGTGCGCCCGTCGCCCGCAGCCCGACGTTCCATTTCATAGAGACCTCTTTGTTGCAGCTCGACGCGAAAAAGAGCCCGTTGGCACTGCTAGCGCAGACCTGCAGCGCGATCGGTGCGGACTCGCCCAACCCGAAACTGATCTCCGCCGCGGAGAAGGCCAGCAAGAAGTACGAGGAGAAGACCACAGCGCACATGGACAGCAAGCCGAGCTTCAAGCCGTACGAGTCGTGCCTTACGGCAAGGGAGAAGACCAGAACACCGGAGGACAGGTCCTCGGCAAACGCGCACTCGAAGACACCACTTTCGTCGAAAGGTAGCGCCTCCACGACCCCCGTGCAGGCGCGTTGCAGCAGCAACCAAAGCTCCTCATCACAGCGGACGTCGCCGCCGACGCATCGTAAAACTCCTTCGGAAAAATCCGACGAGCGATCCAGCCCTCTGCATTCGCCCGCTCCGGCAAAATCTAATTCGGATTCGACAAGTTCGGCATCGAAGTTACCCTATATACCGACGTCTTTAACGTCCAGCGCCGATACCAAAGAACACTCAAGCTTCAAACCAAGTGTACCTGTTACTTCGTCGGCCTTTCTCGGTGGTCTGCCTCCAAGCGGCTTTCCTCTCCCAATGGATTTAATGACGAGCAGTCTCATGGCGGCGCAGCATCACGCCCTGAAGAACGGTCTAAATCCTTACCTCGCGTACGCAAGGATGAAGGCTCCTGGAAGCGATTTGGGGATATGCAGAGACCCGTATTGCACGGGATGCTCCTTAAGTTCACATTTACTCAAATCGGCAGTGTGCCCGGCCGGTTGCGCGCAGTGTGACCACGCCAAAACACCGTTCCCCCTACCCACTAGTCACCCGGCGGCCGCCGCGTATGCGCACGCTCAGCTCGCGGCATTGGCCGCCGCGTCGCAGCTGCCATTCGTGTGTAGTTGGATGGCGGGCGACTCGGCGTACTGCGGGAAGCGGTTCGCCACATCGGACGAGTTGCTGCAGCACCTCAGGTCGCACACGGCGAGTGGTGAATCGAGCCCCAGCCTGTCGATGCTGAGCGCGACGCACCCCCTGCTGCAAAGGACGTACCCAACGCCGCCGCTGTCGCCGCTCACGCCGAGGTTCCACCCGTACAGCAAGCCGTCACACTTGGTGTCGTCGCCGCCGCTGCCGTTCCCCCTGCCGCCGCACCCATCGCTCGCGGCCTACTTCCCATCCTACCCGCTGTTCGGGCCGCGGCCTCTGCACCCTTGAGGACCGTCGGCGCTCCACGCACACAAAAAGGGGGGCGCCGATCGCTAACGCCCAGCGCAACGCGTTCGGAACGGGAGGATGTGTAAATATAAGCTAGTGTTCCCCCAGTTCCCGGTCATATCATCGACGGACGTAAGGCCCTAGCGGCCACAACAGCTGTGATCTCTAACTTGTAATATTCATTATGTTCTAGTGCACTGGATACTGCAAGGGCTCGTCTCTTAGCTTGATCGTGCCGCGAGCGCGGTGTTTACTTTTCTAGTTAGACTAACGAAATTTCTATGTACCAAATCGAATAGGTGTAATTTAAATAGATTTCATTCTTTTTTAAGTTGTTGCGAATAATTATTGTGGATTGTTAATTCATTGTGTTTGTATTTTTAGTAATCGATGTAAATCGATCTGTTCCGTGTATTACTTGACGTCACTGATGATCACATATCTTTGCTAATTAAATGTTAAGGATTAGTATGCGCTGAAGTACTCGAAGTAAGTAAATTTTAAATGTTACCGCATGTCAATGTACTTTATTTGCTTAGCCACTTTCGATTCTTAACGTCATAAGATGGATTATTCACACTTTTTGTTTAGAAATTTACATTTGAAATGCTCGCTAAAATAGCACCGACTTTTTTGTCGATACAGAAAATGTTAAATAGATTAAACATTATCGATGTTGGACAACTATAAATTGTGGTTGCGAACACGGCCATAGTCGTAATTGCGTGTACTAGATCTTGCAAAATTACACTGTAATATCTTGCGACTGATGTCTGTTGACATAAAGATTTGTTGTTTATAAACGTACATGAAATGGAAAGAAATATACGTAAATATTTAATTCGATGCTTTTGTTTCACTTTTAACTATGATACCTATTCCAAACTTAAATTTCCAACAACGCACTACTGGAAAAAGTGAAAGTGAAAATTGTCAAAAAGGGGTCATAATCAAAAAATATATCACGTCGGTAGCTTGAGAGATACTTAGTTCAAAAATTTTCACTAAATTGACGTTCAAAAAAATAATGAAAGTTTTGTTCTCCCTACCCTCACTTTGAAAATTCCACTGATTGTATCAGCCTCTGAAACGTTGCAACCACTGTTAGGTTGAGGGTACTTCATTATTACCGATCCATGATGAAACGATCATGGATTGGTCGCGAAGGTATCCGTTGATCCGACCATAACAGGGCGATAAATCCGCGGCCCGCTGCAGATAATGATCGCAAATCATTTTCCCCCGCAGCTCTGTGAGTCAACTCCGCAAGCGTCCGTAATTAGGACCGCTGCGGCTCCTACAACAATAAATTATAAGCAATTTATCTGTCCGTCTGTCGCAATACATCACGCTACGCGTTGCATTTACTAGCGTTGAAATATTATGACCAATGTTCGGGCTAGACGCGCCATTTGTTGACGCCTTCTGAGCTGCAGCCCTATCGTCTTTCAAATTAATGTTATGATCCGTCGGTACGTACCGACAATGAGTTATTCATGAACCGTACCTATTACATCTAACAATGGAATGCAATAAATCGCGTAACACCGATCTGGCACCGACTGCATTGTGCATTTAATGTTTAGTAATAGCAACCCGTGTATCGGGTGCTTAGCTTAAGTACACTCCGATCTGTCTCACGTTTATGGGATCGTGATTAATTCAATAGCTAAGGACAACTATTGCGTTTGATTTCCTTCATTTGACGTTAAGCGGAATAAAGTTATTAATTTTATCTGCAAATGATTACATTGGTTAAGTTGTACGTGGTAATGGATGTAGTAGTTTATCTTGTTGCCTTAGTTTAATTTACAAACTATTACACTTTATCGCATTACAGATTCTCTAATGTGAATCTGAAATATATTGAACGAAAGTTGTCTAACAACATTTATGGCAAATTTTTTAAAGTTAATGAAATTAACAGACTCCTGAAAACTAAAATCAGTTACCCCAACATGTAACCTAAAGTAACAGTAACTATACATATCCCACTGCTGGGCAAAAGCCTCCTCTCTTACAGAGGGTATTAGAGCATAGTCCACGACGCGGCCCCACTGCGGGTTTGCGAACTTCTCGTATCTTCGAAATATTTTTTTTGTTATTATTTCAAAAATATGCAGCTTTTCTCAGGATGTTTTCCTTCACCGTTGAGCTCGTGATAAAGTAACAAAGTTTACGTAAATGAATTGAGCATTGTTATGTTTTTAAGTCTTTATTACTTTTTACACATTCGATATTTTTAAATCTTGTATAATTTTTGTACATACTGACATGTCTATATTACCATTATTGGGTTTTGTGTCTTTTTCCTTTAATTACTCATTAAAGGAAAATTAATCCAAGCTCTCAAATAAGATCAATTTGTAAATATTATCACGCTATGTATTAAAGTTTCATCAGCCCTTCACAGCTGTTCCCATATTTGCTGTCTTCACATCCAATAAACACGACCGTTGAAGCAAACACGAGATCTTAAGTTTTTATTGACCAGCATGGCCATAAATAATTCAAACAATGCCCGTATTTTTACACGCTTACATTAACCATTAAAATGCCCGTTTAAGCATCGGCAATACAGTAAAGTGTCCGCGGCGTAATGGTATCGCATCTAATTATCCGAACGAATCCATTCGGAGAACAATTTCATACGGATTCCTTTGAGTCGTTAATTTTAATAGCATCGCATCGTGGAACTTGCCCGCCATAATTTTGCATTCGATTACGAGAGGTTCACAGTTTTAACGGATGAACGAAAAAAATATTAAATTTTAATTGGATCCAACATCACTAGAGCGTACCTTGCACTTGCTTATTTGCATTCCGACAGAGCGCGTCCAATTCGTGGTACAGTCAGCGGAATATTGAATTAATAAGATGTTGAAACTCACTCCCGCACTCGGCGGTCGTGAAAGTAAATTACCGGCCGAGTAATTTATTAACGCTATTAACATATTAATATTGTTAATGTTATAACGCCGTTGCGAAACACAGCTGGGTCTTTGGGGCCGACTAAGTTTAACATTGCCCAGTTGCTCACTTCACAGACTAATTAAAGGCTGCGATCTATCCTCGATACGTCATGATTCCAATTCAAATATATTTATTCAATAGAGAAGCGTTACGTTTACTTATTGGCTGTCAAAATACTACTAGGTTCGAAACGTAAGCCAACTAACCTGAGAAGAAACGCCGAAAGAGTGGTCATTTTTATAACCAATATGTGACAAGAAAAACGTGTTACCAATTTAAAATATATTAAAGTCCACTTGAAAGAGCCTGGAGCGATCAATTCATTTCCAGAATGTGTTATTATTTAAAAAATCAGTACATTAGACACACAAACGTTTTTTTTTTTTGACATTACACTTAAAGATACCTACCGTTTGCAACAGAAACAGGTGCTTATTTAGATTGACAAATGCAATAGTTTAGACTTGTTGCAAATTATGTTAGACAATTAGTCCCGATGTATGTCTAATTCATGCGTTGCTAGGAATACAGCAAGATTATGACTAGCATATTCAAGTGGCTTATACCGGCACCATAAATCACTCATTGCATTTTCCATGTTTGTACAATCGTAATCGGATTGCTTTTGCGGACCCAATTTATAAGGCTCTATAAGGCTGTTTTGCAAACATATTTCAGCGGTATACATACCTTTTAAATAAATTGAATCATCTTTGGTCAATATACTACCAATTTTTTATATAAGTATGTTTATATTACTTTCTTTGAAATTCCTACATTACTACACATTCTTAACTAAAAACATTTATCGTATGTATTAGTTCACTATAAAAATTCAAAATCTGAAATGAAGGTTATAATTAAAAAATATTTTTAATGTATTTTTTTAAATATAACCTTGTGTAATTTTTGAATTTTGATTATTAAAATGTGTAGTTTTTAAAGTGGTAAATACTAAGACATATCATCTGTAAATATATATTTAATCAATATCGAACTCTACATCAGAAAACTTGGAATCTAAAAGCGCTAATTACATATACACAAACAGAGCGTTAAGTACAACTAATTTAATTCGCAGAGCACCGAAAAGGCTAACTGCGCGTTTCTAACTTTCAAAAGGGCCCTTTGCATGCACTCCCATGCCAGGAGTTGAAACCCGACACTTCAAACGAGCCGCGCGCTTTGATGTCACCGCCGGACGCCGCCGCAGTACAGTCGCCTGGAAAAGAACAGTGCCATTAAATTTTTAAGTACACTCGACAACCACATGCGTCATTAGCAATTGTGTGTCCGTTTAATTTAAACGTTTAAACGTTGGTGTATGACATTAATTACCTTGCTTGCAATTATTTTACTATGGTCGCATATTTTTAAGTAATTTGCTGTGACACGGTTTAACTACTTCAGGCAATAACTGTACCTTTCTATCAATTAGAATAATAACACAAAATCGATGGCCTATTACATTCTTGAGCATGTAATTACTAAATAAAGCCGAAATAAAATTACGAATACATGTTAAACATGAAAACGGGACTTTTACTTGAGATTGCTATCTAAAAATTTTAGGTTTTTTTTTTTTTTTTTTTTCATTTTAAGACAGGTTTTCGAACTTCATCAGAAAATCCAGGTGAAACCAACTCTTGTTTTGTTTCTTACTATCCCAGCCCAGTCCAATTTTTCAATCTTTCTTCATTTTCAATATCTGTAAATGTATACATACAGGCCTGATCTAATTTTCAAGTACCGACAGTTTGTCAAAGTATCCCTGATTAACACTAATTTTATATCATTCAGTTATATGTGGTCTTAATTCCTTGTCTTGTTAATGGTCTTACTCATAAAAATTAATTAAACGCCAGACTAAATTACCGAAGAATTCTTTTCTTAATTAGGCTTATCGTACATTTACGTCACTTTTTGAAATAAAAAAACTTGCGTTAAGTATGTACATTAACTTACAAGAATTTGAAATGAATTAATCTATGGAATAAATTAACACTTAATTTTACATGGAGAGAAGTTATTTCTGAAAAAGAAAATTAATTCGAAGAATTTTGCACACTATAAACGTACTCCAGTCGACACAGAGGAATGTTTTCATTTAATTTAACCGTCCAACTTCTAATAATTACACGATTGTGGTAACATAAAATAATTTAAGTCAATTACACCATTTCTATCGATTGATGTGGCAACACGATCGTGCAAGCGCGACCACTAAGGTAATACTATTTTATTATTTTCCAGAGGCAGGACCATAAACAGGCAACTTTATGTGAATAATTCACTTGCATAGACCCATTATTGCGTTCTCAATTGATCGCTCTTGTAACACCTACCTTTATAATACCAAATACCTTAGTAAATAAGGAATTACTGCACAGCGACATTCCGATATTTCTTTTCGTGTTCACATTAATCGGCATATGAAGCTATTACGTTGTGGTGTAGTCGTGCAAAATTTTTATCGCAATAATATACCCGAACCGAGTGGTCTTCACGTTAGTAATGCCGACCTTTTACTTCGATGTCTAATTGCTGTATTATTCAAGTTGGAAAATATTCATTGTCTAATGTTTGCACCTCACATAACTCACCGCACACCTACTAGTGTCGTACATTAAAACACAAATGTCTATGCCAAAGATTATCTAGAAGTTATTGCTCACCTTAGCCAATTCTGGCTTCAGATATACGAAATGGGGACCATTACTAATTTTATATTATATTATCTATTTCAATACAATTTAATGGGCAATGCTAGCCATTAGGAATCTAAGAGAAGCGTGGTATACCAGTTTAGTCACTTAACTTCGTTTTCAAATATTGCTAATCATTAATAAGCTATAAAATAAAATAAAAAGTAAACTATATATTGAAGATCCTGGTAACAAGATTTCGAAGCAGGATATAATTTTAATTGAAATGTTTAAAATGATGTGCTTATCATTAACAAAATTCAAATAACAACAAACAAAATTCAGGAAATGAAATTTGGAATAAGCGAAGTATGGCGATTTCACAAGAATTTAATTAGGCTGAATTTATGTTTACGATTTTTTTTTATTTATGCAGGTAGCAAATGAGTTGACAATTCACCTGATGTTAAGTGATTACTGCCGCCCATTGATATTTTCAACACCCATGCGGTTGCGTTGCCAAGTTTTAATAACGTGGACCCCGGGGAATTCCCGGTTCAATAAAGCTATATCGGCCAATTGAAATATAACATCATATCAAATCGCACTAGCATTGCTATTGCAACGGAATACACTTTCCTATTAGAAAGTATGTTCCTTCTTGATACTACAATACACTGCTTACTAATGAAGTGTATCATAGTTTATATGCTTCATTAATGTAAACATTTTGATGACTCGGTAAGCACAATTAATAAGCAAAAGACTTCGATGCCGCGGTTCCTGAATTTAATTCCCATCGGCACAAGTATTTTTATAACCCGCAAACAACTATTCCTTATCCATTTCATTGTCTCTCTTTATATTGTGTGATGACTATTCGGTATCTGTTTCATTATCCTCCTTTAATCTGTACTCATAAAACGCCTCTGGATTACCTTATACTATAATAGGTTATATCAACAAAACAGTTATCGACTTATTGCAAACAAAACACACCGCGTTAGGTTACAAAATGTCTTTCTTTGTTCGAATACATACTTTTGATACTTTAAATAAAATATTAACGGGTGAAGCTGCTAGTATGGACTAGTGCGAAATAAGCTCATGCACGGATTAACGGCTTCAGCGTAAGGTCAGATTATCTTTGCTGGTCACTAGAGCCTTGGAGGAAAAGTGACAAGGCGGTCAGCGATTAGCCGCCTGTGACCGAATGACAAATTATTCCGCTCTACAGCTCACGCTTGATGGATTAACGTGTACCGGTCACTAAGAACTTTCGAGAAACCCCTCTCTATCTTTCCGATCAGGTTACATCACTTAAACATGGTTTTGAAGTTATGGAACTGAATATAAAAAAAAAACTGTAATTGTTTCATTTAAGTTAACGTTAAAATATAATAATTTTATGCTCAATATTTAATAAATTAATAGAAATTGAAAAAACAACCAACCACCACCAGGTGTTCAGGTATTTTGAAGAGACAGAAAGTGACCCAATTTTAAACATTTTGGTGGCACGTAGGTTTGCAAACGATCCCAAATCGATTTTTTGATAGTGTTACCTTCTGGGGTTTTACATAATAATATAATATATAACCATAATATCCATCTGCCCTAATGCCTTGCATATTCTCTTTTTATTTATTCACATATGTTATTTATTTATTTAGACTTACCAACTAAATACATACAGAACATTATTAATAAACATTTACAGTTACCAACAGAATTATACTACATATACAGCGTGTCGTTACCATCGCGACAATAAATGAACACACGTCTAACGCTACTTTCCAACAATAATAAAAAAAATTTTAACGTTAAACAAAATCCATAATTAAAAAAAAATATTTTTCAAACAAACTAATTAAGTAAAAAAGAAACAAAATTTGTAACATCCTATACAACTCGCGCCACAGCGTCGCATTACAAGCCTATCCTTCTAACAGTATGTTTTGTCTCTTTTACATTCATTCAACTCATTCATATGCTTTGTGACCTTTACAAATGAACTTTACGTTACAGTTTTATACGTAAGGGTGTTCTAAAATTGTTTGTTTTGGAAAATTTAATAACTCGGTAAATATTGCTGTTTCAAGAATGTAAATGTTTAATACAATTTTAAAAAGTTATCATCTATATGTGTGTTCATTTATTGTCGCGGTGGTAATGACACGCTGTATATTTAACTTAAAGGTATGCACAACATTTCCATATGAAACTTAAAATTAACAAATAATGAAATGTAATATATGCCACATTATTCTATGCAATACAATTAATATTAGTAAAGAGTTTAAAATTTTATAATTTGAGGTTTTTAAATCGAATTTGAATTTAGTATTGAAATAATTTCCTTTTTAAGGTTATATGCATGATACTACTGACGTAGGTCCATCTAACTCCATTGTGGAAGTTTATATAAATTTGATAGACCCTGTCTGATCTGAGATCGCTACATCATGTATCATAAGACACAAGATCGCTTATCCCAAACTTTATTTCCTGAATTTTGTTTGTTGTTATTAATGATAAGCACATCATTTAAAACATTACAATTAAAATTTATATTCTGCATCGAAATCTTCTCAACAGGTTCTTCAATATATAGTTTACTTTTTATTTTATTTTAAAGCTTATTAATGATTAGCAATATTTGAAAACGAAGTTAAGTGACTAAACTGCTATACCACGCTTCTCTTAGATTCTTAATATATAGCATTGCCCATTAAATTGTATTGAAATAGATAATATAATATAAAATTAGTACTAGAGACCATTTCGTATATCCGAAGCCAGAATTGGCTAAGGTGAGCAATAACTTCCAGATAATCTTTGGCATAGACATTTGTGTTTTAATGTCCGACACTAGTAGGTGTCCCATGAGTTATGTGATGTGAGGTGTAAACATATACAGCAATTAGACATCGAAGTAAAAGGTCGGCATCACTAACGTGAAGACCGACTTGCCAATATTTTATTAGAAACTTGCTTCTTCAAGGGTTCGGTATTAAATAAAGCTTAATACGGTCTTTGGACTGCACTACAATCTATGGTTACTTTCTTTGAAATGTAGCTACTTGTCGTACAATGCAGTCATTATATGTTTGTAAATGGAAATGGCGACAAATTTTTCGGGTTCTAAGTAAACTTTATGAGGCACTATTTGTAAGTAAACAAGTCTCTTAAAAAGGTTTTCCTGTTACACCCATGAATATTTTCAATGGAGGCGTAAAGTTTGAAGTCTTATTCACATGGGCTATTTTTGTGCTTGAAATATTAAAAATAAAACATGCTTCGCTAGTCGCACAAAAAATATTATTTGGCTGGTGGAACTCTAATGGAGCAGTTGCGGTTTTAAACAACGTCTATTTGACTACACACAAATGGCGAGTGTTTACCTTTAGTGTTGTACCAATGTCCCACGTTAAATTAATTTTTAGAAATTAATTTTCATCATACATAAAGCAGGTTTTCAACTTGAGATCTGGCGACAATGAACGCTATCGTATTCACTTTATACTCGTCAAGAGGACTAATTCTAAAATAAAAAAGATCGTACTTAAATCATCTTATGGACTGAAAATAAACCAATTCAAAAAAGCAAAAATCAATTGGCCTTCACTATCTTCAAAAAGCGCAGTAGCGAACCGATGAAGTAACCCGAACCGAGTACAGTCGAGGGCGAAACGCTCTAAGCGAAAACGACGAAAAAACGCAACGAAAGTGCGAAAAAACGTTGGAAAAAACGGGCACACCGCACCGGTGGCAACGAACGCTAATGCGAACCGACAACGCGTGCACGGCGGCTTCAAAGCGGCGCGAGGAGGCGGCGTTAATCACTCTTCCACTCGACTGTACGATGCTTATCTGCTCATTGCCTCGCGCCCCGCTTGCCACGTTCCAAATCGTATTGCCTCTGACAGCATATTACCCGAGGTCGGTGTTGCCAGCGCCCAGACTGTCGTTAAATACGTTTTCGTAGTATAATTATTCCCTCGCATATATTTCCTCATAAAAGTAAAGTAACAGCCTATAAATGTGCTGGGCTAAGGTCTCGGGCCTTTGCCCAGCAGTTGGATATGTATAGGCTGATACTTTACTATTTACTTTACTATAAATGTCCCACTAAAGAGGGTATCAGGGCATAGTCCACCACTGCGGATTGGCGGACTTCACATATTTTTGAAATATTTTTTTTTGTTATTATTTCGAAAATATTCAGGTTTCCTCACGATGTTTTCCTTAACCGCCGAGCACGTGATAAATCAGCGCCTAAAATCAACAATTTCATGTGTGCTGGCACCGGGGATCGAACTCAGGTTGCTCGAGTAAATGTAATTATAAGCGAGCGCCCGGACACTGAGCTATCACGAGAATATATTATATTTGAGAATATATATTTTATTAGGACAAATTTTTCACACAAGTTTTTCTAGTCCCAAACTAAGCAATGCTTGTACTATGGGTACTAGATAACTGATAAACATACTTAAACATACTTTTCTTTTGTAAATAAATACATATTATACATATATAAACACCCAGACACTAGAAAAACACTATGTTAATCACACAATATTTTTCCAGTAGTGGGGATCGAACCCACACCCTCTGGCGCAGGAGGCAGGTACACTACCCACCACGCCATTCAGGTCGTCATATCACGGCTCTTATCCCCCATATGAGCACTGAATTATATCTTTATCTTTACAAAATGTTTACACTTTCAGTACTCAGGGTTACTTAACGCATTGCTCACAGAGGTGGGGCTACGCAGTCTTGGCTGGCAGCAGGCTCACTAGGGACCGGTCTGAAATTGAAGTGTTATACTTCTGCGTTTCGTCCAGTGAGTGATGTTACACTTTTCAAACGTTATTAAACGGTTGAACCCCGTAGATGTTGCAAATATCCACGGGCAGCGGTTGCCACTCAACATCTTGTGAGCCAACAGCTCGCTCGCCAAAAAGCGTACTTTTTGAATCAATCAAGTTACCGCGAATTTTAGCTTTGGATACTGTGTCAGAAATATCGTTTCTGTCTCTCGCAAATTTAAGCATATCCATGGAGGAATAGGCAAGCCGCTCAGCTCATATTTTTTTAATATGGAACACAAAATTGGGAACCAAACTGTGGTTTTACCGATGCCTTTACGGTACCGAAAAGCTTTATTTAAAGATTAAAAAAAGAACTCCACATTATATTGATAGATTATATTGTCACCATTAAATGATGTTTAAGGACTCAAACATCATTTAATGGTGAGAATACACTTTATTTAATATCTAATTATTTTAAAAATAACCGCGAGAACCACAAAAACCACACCCAAGATCATTCGGTACCGCTTGTCAAAATTACTACTGCCTTTTAAATAAAAATATAAACAAATCGTAAATTCAAACAGATAAATAACAACATTAGCGCATCGAAGCTAAAATTAACGCGATGACGCCGGCCCTCCGACGGAATAACCGTGAATATTCTTCGGTAAACATTTCAGGCGCTAAAATCCATTAGATGAAGACGCGGGGTTTAATTCGGACGGACGTGCTGACAAACAGGGCTGTCCGTCGACCGCTTGTTGTGATGAGGAGTAATCGGCGGTGAAGCGCGTCTTCAGCATTCTTTTCTAGCTCGTTATGTCAGCATTGGCTTAGTGGTTGGGACGTCGAGTTTGAAGTCTTAGGTCACAGGTTAGAAGCTAGCGTCGCGGAATGTTCATATTTTTTCGAATTACTCCCGCGGTTCTTAACCCTATGAGTTTTCTAAATCTCATAGCTATCTCGAGCCAATAAAAGTAACAGTAATACATTTGCTGACATAGCTTTTTAAAATTATTAAATTTATTTATTAATTATTAAGTGAAAATTCCGGGATTTGAAAACGAAAAATTAACAATTCAAGTTTCATGTAGCCTTCGATGCTGTGTGGTATTCTTTCCGCCGTTTATAAAGAATAAATGAAAATGATATAAAATAAATTGAACATTTTGTTTCCTTTATAATGTTCAGAACTAAAAATTCCTATTGTTTTTTACAAGAAACTATACAAACATAGCCATATTGAAAAATCGTGGCGTGTATAATCCGTCGACATGTGCACGTGAAAGCTTCAAACACCAGACGATTGTCTCCTCAGTGCGCGATTGTGATACGAGCGCTTTGCGAGTCGCTGCTATGAAAAAAAGGGATCACGGGGTCGTAAACACGAGAGTGCTCGGCGGGAGGACACACAAAGGAAGCAGGAAGGACTTCAAACGCGCCGCTTTACGGGCCACGGCAGATAAGGGCATCTGCGGCACGGATCTGATAGCGGGAACGGGTTGAGTCCTTTACGGAGGTCGCAAAGGCCGATTAAACGGATGCATGCAACACTCCCACCAGTCTCAATGCTTTCGCCACACCGTCGTGTTCAGCTATTAGCCTATATATTTTGATTTTAAAGTAGTGCTCTTTAACAAACTGCACTCTCCGCGATTAGCTCTTCCTACAAGTAAGGAAATCGTGAATAGCATTTAGCGAAAACGTAGGCTTTTCAAAACATTCTCTTGCTTATTTATTAAAATCAACAAAAAAGAATAAGTTTAGTTAATAATGTTTCAAATGGCACGCAAAAAAATTTGAAAGAAAAAATATGTATAAAAAGGAAAAATATGTAAAAAAGGGACAATGTATAGTCGTGTAAAGTGTGTATTCCTTAACAGGTGTTACATTTAACCTACCAGCAACTTAACTTAGCTCTGGAGAAAATAGCCAATAACCCACAAATCTAACTTCCCAGCATCTCCGCCAACGAGCCTTCAATATATCATCATACTCTACATATATGCATACCTTGGGCTTATTAAATACCAGCCTCCGTCAGAAAGCGTCCAGGAATTCATAGTTAGAACAATAATTTCAGTTTGCTCTGCAAAATTATTCGCAATTAAAATTTCACTAAGGTACTGAGGCATCGTGTATGGTAGAGAAACATAGTGTTATTAAAAAATAAAATATTGGCCTACAAATAAAGCAAAGTCGTCCCGCTGTCTGTCTGTCCTTATGTATGCTAAGATCTTTAAAACTACGCAACGGAACTTGATGCGGTTTTTTCACTATATAGAGGATGATTCAAGAGGATATGTTTTTTTTTTTAATTAAAAACATTGCCCTCACTTTAGGATAACACTATCCTGTGTTGTAAGGACGTTTTACAAATATAAATTGCACGAGGACAAACACCCAGATGCGAAAGAACTATCTGTGGGTCGCACAAATAGTTTTCCCCTGTGGGAATCGAATGCACGACCCCCAACGCCGAATACCTTGGCAACTGCGCCACGGAGGCATCATATACATTGCACCCGTGCGAAGCCGGGGCGGGTCGTTAGTATGATATAAATGAAATAAGCTGTTGCATAGGGTAATGCGGTAGGTCCACTCAAATGTTGACGAATCAGCAGCCTTGTCCGGGCAAGTACCACGGCTTAGAAGACCAGCATGATGTAGAAATATTGTACTTTAGTATTTCCTTGGTGAATAAGGTGTCCGAATTTCACTGTTCTTAAAACTAACGGATCCGCAACCTCTCAGGTATTTTTGTTCTATGTGCGGTAGTGATCACTTGACATAAGTTCAATGACCTGCACGCTTGCACATTTTATTTCTAAATTATTTATTTTTTTTTTATGTGAAAAGTTGCCCAGCGAGCAGGCGGTTCACCCGATGTTAAGTGAATACCGCCGCCCATGGACATCTGCTACACCCGAAGGTTGCAGATGTGTTGACAACCTGTTGAAGATTGGGCTCCGGCTACCGAACTCACCAGAAGAAACGCGAAAGTGTTTGTATACTTCTTTGTACTCTTCTGTGAGGTCGTGGTACCTACCCGGACGAGCCTGCCCATTCATGCAACAGCCGAGGCTGCTGTGTGGGCCACACAGCAGCCCTAGCAGGCCCTACCACGTTAAATTAATTATTTTAATTATTTTACAGATACAAAAAAAATGTACTTTCAAGTCTCATATCTCGCGCTCGTCGGATATTTCAATTTTCGAATTCAATTTTCGAAAAGAAATTTTAAAAGCTATTGCAAAATTTGATCCAGACAGGCAAACATCATTAAGACAGACAGAATTAAAAAGAACATTTCAGAGAGCATTCCAATTCCATCGTGTAGTTACAATAACATAAACATTTATCGTTCGTACAATGTAACTTCGAAACTGACATTGCATTTTGGAACATAAATTTTTAACGTAACTCCATGACGTACGCACGCGACTAACACAAGGGATGTATAAGTATATTGTATTATATCATTTTATTTAGTATTGCTAGTACATATACACATATACACATATGCCCCACTGCTGGGCAAAGGCCTCCTCTGTATAGAGGACCCCACTGCAGACCGGCGGACTTCACAAATCTTCCAAATACTTTTTTATTAATTATTTCGCAAAAGTATAATATATAAAGTATGCAGGTTCAGGAAAACATCGTGAATGTTTTCCTTGACCGCGGACCACGTGATAAGTCAGCACTTAAAGTTAAAAACTTCATTGGTGCCGGCACCGGGGATCGAACACAGGTTGCTCGAGCAATTCTTGTATATATATATATATAATCGGAATCTCGGAAACGGCTCCAGCGATTTTCATTAAATTTAGTATGTGCGTAGATTCGGGGGCGAAAAATCGATCTAGCTAGGTTTCATTTTTAGAAAATGTCCTTTTAACCCTGTTTTCAGGGAATGAAAAATATCATTCAAATATGACAGTAAATTTCGCCGCAAAAAAAATTGTTATAATAGCTCGGTCGGTAATCGGGCGGCCCCAAAACAGACGGCCACGATTCGTATCACGATAATTTACACACTTATTTTTTTTACTTTTTTTTTTCTATACCAGATCATTTTCTTTATTTTTGATTTTTTGATTTCCAAAATACATGATTTACCAAAAAAAAAAAAACCGAGCAAGGCTCGGTCTTCCAGGGTACTTGAATTAAAGGTGAGCGCCCGGACACTGAGCTATCACGGCTCTATAAACATTATATATAGATATTTTAAAATGCACCTACCCAAACTTTTCTGGACCACCTCAAGGTTGACTCGGAGATAATGCTGACGGTATTAAGTCCGCCTTTGTACATACAAATGTGTTTGTGCGGAAATAGATAATCCATACTAATAGTATAAGTGCGAAAGTAACTTTGTCTTTCTGTCTCGCTTTAACGCCAAAACTACTGAACCGATTTAAATGAAATTAGGTACACAGATAGTCTGACTCTGAGAAAGGACATAGGTTATTTTTTAATTGGAAAAAGCGTTATAAAGGGTTCTTAAAGCGGATAGATATTTATTTAAGGGCTTCAACGCGAGTGAAGCGGCGGGCTAAAAGCTGTGAAAGTATTTGTCATACTTCCACTTTACGCCGGTCTTCTGTGAGGTCGTGGTACTTACCCGGACGGGCCTGCCCATTCGTGCAACGGCCGAGGCTGCTGCGTGGTCCTACCACCGTAAACCAAATCAAGTAAACCGCCATTCGCTTGCCACTTCCTCACAACAAAAGTAGAAAGCAAGCAATATCTGGGAACTATGGTGGGTAACGGAGTGCTACACTCCCCAACACCACATTCCCTATCCAAAAGTAGAAGGTGCCAGCTTCACCCGTTACCCGACGCGTAAGCGTTTAAGTTTAAAAATACCGCCGTCACTCCGCCGCCATCGAAACAAACCGCGTCTCGAGTTTTACGCGAATTAATAAGCTAGGCTTCTAATTGGTGCCATAAACATCGTATGTAAAACAAACAACTTGTCCGTCCGTACATTCCCGTCTAAGAGTCGGGCGGTAAATTAAAACGGACGCGCCAGACGTAAACGGCCACCTTGAGGCTTGGTATACATGCTGTTTAAAAGCATACTTGCAGCATGCCCTCCGAGTGTACTCATTTGTCAATGAAAGCAGACTTTCTAGGAAGCATGACGCATACATGCATCACAAATATGCACACACGTATTCACAAGAAAGCGTAAAGTAGCAAAATCTTGCATGGTTCAGGTTTGCTTTTAAGTATACAAGTGCTGTTTAAACGCTTTTAGGCATACATACAGGGATATTTTTTGGGAAGTGCCCAAATTTACACAGAAGGTTCAGACTCGGTAGTATAATCGTTTATTGAAAAAAAAAGGTTTTTTTTTCCAAAAAAAAAGAACTGGCGGTTCGCCTGATGTTTAGTGATAACCGCCGCCCGTGGACATTTGCAACTCCCGTAAGATTACAAATGCGTTGCTACCTTTAAATAAAGTGGGCCCCGGCTAACTAACTCACCAGACGAAACGCAGAAGTGTTACACTTCTACTTTACGCCGGTCTTCTGTGAGGTCGTGGTACTTACCCGGACGGACCTGCCCATTCGTGCAACAGCGAACACTGTCGCATGGTCCTACCACGGTAAACTCTTTAATACACTCGTGTATTGTCCGTTAAAAAGTAGCATCTGCTAAATACAAGCGTGGTCGTGTACACAGAATGCGAATACCGGACCTAATAGCTTGATCCGTATTAAAATTAAAAACCATTCGCCTCTACGCGTTCATGAATTATAAATGCTGCCTTATAATTATAATGTAAGTAATAGGCCATTACTGTCCCGTTGACAGGACAAAGGAATATTTAATTAAATTTATTCTACAAGTATCTAATGCGACGTTCGCCTTGTCAAAGTGTACCCGTCAATTTAATTTGCACGTTGTTTTTCTTGAGTAATTAGCGAGCGGATTGCTTGTTACACCACCTAGCTTTTTTTTTTTTATTTTTTTTTATGTGAAAAGTTGCCAAACGAGCAGTCGGTTCACCTGATGGTAAGTGAATACCGCCGCCCATGGACATCTGCCACACCCGAGGGTTACAGATGCGTTGACAACCTTTTGAAAATTGGGCTCCGGCTACCTCACTCACCAGACAAAACGCGAAAGTATTTGTCATACTTCCACTTTACGCTCGTCTTCTGTGAGGTCGTGGTACTTACCCGGACGGGCCTGCCCATTCGTGCAACAGCCGAGGCTGTTGCGTGACCCTACCACCGTAAGTAGTAGCTGGTGTTAATTACGGCTGTATTTTATAAAATTTTCTCGGTGCTCACTGTCGGCCTGTGTCTGTTCACTTTATAATTTTCATAAAGAAATAATCAAGACCTGATTGTATCTTATTTTTTTGATTTGAGGTTGATCATTCACTAGGTTATTGTTTTAGGTTTGTTCCATACTAAGTTTCAACCTTTTGCATCTTTCAACAAATAAAAAAGGTTTGGGAATAAAATTATTCATTTTATTGGACT